TACACTCTTCTGCCATGCGACACAAATCTTCAGACATTGCTTTACTAGCATATTCCAAAAAAATATCCGCGCAACTAGATCCTGTTTGACAAAAATTCATTAATATTTGATGTATTGACAAACACATCAATTTTCGGTTTTCCAATACAAAATTGTGTCTGGAAAGTTGACTATTGTAGGGAGCTAAATACAATATACCCGCTATACGTATCTATATTATATTATATGTTTAAATCCGAGACGTTGGCGTTGACACGGTCATCATGACGTGTTTATATACATTCGACTTCGAGACATTAGTCGGCAGTCGGTGTCGAGTCGAGAATACGAATAGACGAAAGACGAAAGCGACCGGCGCGACCGAATACAAGACGTGTGCGTGACTTGCGGTATTTCTTGTGCGATCAAAACCGTGGCCTAAATATATTCTTATTCGTTATTACCATCTTTACAATTAACACTTTGGGATTTGAATTATTTTACCATCCTATAACCAATCCCACATTTGGGGGCTCAGCCGGGATAGGCACGGATCGCGTACAGGGAAAATCTAAGTTCGAGAATAGACCGTTGTCGGGTGAGAAGATACTGTGTGTGGTGAGCAGACGGCAGCCGCACATTTCTTGGAAGTGACGGACAGTGTCTTGGAAGACAACGTGTACATCTCTCGGACGGATCACACAATCATAGTCATGGAGTCTACCCTTAGCGTTGCGCAACTGAAGGAATTTTTGAGAGCTCGCGGATTGTCCGTGTCGGGGACAAAGGCCGAGCTTCTTGCCCGTTTGACAGAAGCGGACCCGACAGGAGACTGGCGTGCGCCAAACACGAGTGATGCTAACGACAGTGCTGGTGACGACGGCTGTCTTGAAGACGACATGTGTCGACGAGAGGTCGAAATCTACAGACGCGAGAAGGAGATCGCTGAACGTGAATTGGAACTAGCCCGTCGCGAGATTGCGTTGCTGCGAGAAAGTCGGGATCCAAGTCAGGCGGATCGCGGGCGTCAGGAGGAAATCGTGGAGCGCGGTAATAATTTGCCCGCATTGCCGCGCGCTCGATTGAATCTAACAGCGATTGCGGATCTGTTGGCGGATTTCGATGGCAGCCCCGACGGCTTTGACGTATGGGAGAAGCAAATAAGGCTCCTAAAAACGACGTATCAGCTGGACAACGATCATACAAGAATTTTGGTAGGAATGAAATTGAAGAAGAGAGCTCTTGAGTGGTTTCACTCAAAGCCCGAATTTATCGGCATGACCTTTGATGTTCTCATGTCCGAGCTGAGAACGATGTTTGGCCATCGACAAAGCAAAATAACAACCCGGAGAAGATTCGGAGGGCGTATTTGGAAGAAGAACGAGACGTTTCGAGAATATGTACATGACAAGGTGATCATGGGCAATCGTGTACCGATTGCGGCCGATGAGATAATCGAGCACGTTATAGACGGCATACCTGCACACAAAAAACTGAATCCTTAAATCACGTATATTTTTATTCTTAAACGCTGTTTGCATTAATTTGAGTATGGTATGCTCTCTTTAGCCAGAAATGTTTATTTACATTAATAATAAATAAGTTTGTATGGAATATATTTTATCCTTAATATGGTAGTCTTGTTTCTAACATCATTATATGGTTATAACAAGCGCAACGACATAATTCCAAAGTAATTTATTCTTGAAATAAGAACTATTACATACTTGAAAGCTCAACGTATATCTGAAGTTCACTTGTTTTCGTGTTCGCTCTGCTCGTTAGGCTGCGTTCGTAACTGTTCGACTGTTAAACAAAGACGAAATGATACGCGGGGCACTCGGATGTTTCCGAACCCAACCTTAGTAACATCAAGATGGCGGAAATGGATGCACGTAAAGTAAGTGAGGTGAGTGGAGAAAAGTTTATGGAAGTATTACTGTGTTCGTGGGGTATACCCCAAGTCATTCAGACTTTCAAAGGTAAGTGAAATATCTTTCCTCTTGATATTGTGTCGCGTACCGTGTCGTTGAGAGTACCGGAATACTGCGTATCGCGTGCCGCGTGGTTGTGCGTATCGGAAAACGGTGCCGCAAACCGCGGTTTCGATCTTCGTTCGTGTGGTACGGCCCCGGGGGTCGACCCTGTACCCGGGAAGATCCGTCGGGACTTCCCCGGGGCGCGATACCACCCGGTGGGCCGGTGGCTGAGGCCGGCTCGGTCTTCACGTTATCCCGCGCGGGCGCATGCGGCTGCCGCGTGCCTCGCACCGCGCCGGAATATAGTCGTGTACCGGGTGCCGCGGAACCTCGGTGAGTGTCTCGTAATTCCCGTCTTTAATCTCGTTACGCGTTTCGTCCTTCCGTTCTTACAATTAGTCTCGTTGCGTGTTTCCGTCTCGTTATGTCCTTCCATCTTTCCGTCTCGTTCCGTCTTTCCGTCTCGTTCCGTTTCGTTACGTCTTTCCGTCCTTCCGTCCCGAGTTTCGTTCCGTTTCCCGTCCATACGTCCTCACGTTAATTGCGTCTCCCTTCGTTTCTTTACGTCGTCCCGTTTTCTCGTTTCTTTACGTTGTCCCGTTCTTACGACCCTGCGCCCCTCGGGGCCTGGCGCTTTCCTCGCCGCGTATTCGCGATGTCGATCGACGTCAATTCGACGGTGTCGATGTCGTTTCGACGTCGATCGACGAATCATTTCTCACTGGGAACCGAGCTTTGGTAATACTGAAGGAGAGAGGCCTCTTCACTGATTTGGTTAGGTTAGGTTCAGTTGATTTGATGGAATCTTTGTAATTTTGTAAATTTTAATGTGCAAAATACTCACTACTACCCATACAGCATAAACCTTGCAGTTACATTGCAGCAATGTTGCAATATTGTAGCAACGTTTCTGCAATGTAACTGCAACCATCTGTGCTGTATGGGTACTGTGTGAAAGTTAAAATCGTCGCTCTAAAGCAGGAAAAAGTTAAGTGTTAAAATATAACAGCTGTTTTACACTCTTGTTCTACGCTACATATCGGTATGACAAATTTTTTAACCCCCACAACTATCATATTTTAACACATATATAACAATTTTTCCCTAAATCAGAATAACGATTTTTACTTTGATGCTCGTATTTTATGCATCAAAAGATACACATTTGTAAAGTTTTAGCCAAATCGGTGAGGTCCGACTTTTTCCGTAACATTTGCATTATAACCGTTTTCTGCTTTAGAGCAACGATTTTAACTTTTACACCCATATTTTGTATAATAAAACATAAAATTATAAAGTTCCAACTCAAATTGGTGAGGAGGTCCTTCTCCTTCGGTATTACCCTTTACTAAACAAGATTAGAATATTTTAGCTGTTTTAGAATAAATTTATTTGTAAATATTTTCTAAGGAATTGCTAAAAGTAGTTCGTATTTTCTACATATGAAATTTGGTTTCAGACAAAGCAATAGATGTTGATTTATTTTTACAACTAAATGAAAATGAGGCTAAAGAAATATTGAAGGACTTTGCCCTAAGAATTCAAATGAAATTTTGGGAAAAATATGCCAAATGGAAAGAAAATGACAATATCCACGTTCAAGTAAGAATATTTTTTTGCATGTTCGTCCATTGTCCATATTTTAAATTTAGTGGTTTTTTAAATTTAGGTTCCATCCGTCGTTTAATATTTAATTTACGTTAGTTTTAAAATGTGAAGTAAATCGTTATTTAAAGTCAGTTTAAATTTATTAGCAGAGCTTAGTTATAATATCGGTAAAAGTGCCGAATAGGGGACCCAGCTCCTACGACCTTGACCTTCAAGGTCAAGGTCAAGGTCACCCTCCTGAGTGACCCTCAGAAGGTTTTAGCCGTCGCTCGTTGCTCGTTAAAAAGTTGTTAACAAAAAAAGTTTGGTTTATGTGTAAGTTGCAAATGCGTTTAGCACGGCGCGCTGCGCGCGCCCTCCCCCTCCCCCTCCCCGCCCTCCCCCCCCCTCCCCTCCCCCTTCCCCTTCCCCTCCCCCACCCCACCCGTATTTACAACCTACCATCTTATCTATATGGAAAAAAGTTAGAAATTGAGGTAGGATTACGTTATGTTGTATATAATAAAGAATTTTATTAAACATTTAATGTATCTAGTGGATATATGGTACTCATGATATTAAAAAATGTATCAATACGATCATCGAAATTGTGTATTCTTTTAAATAAGAATTCGGCCAAATAATTTGTACAGGTAATATAAAAACTTTTTTCGTTCCTCGTTCTATACCGCCAAAAAACCCACTGTCCTCGAAGTATCCGTCCTTAGTTATAGGGGC